CATTGGAGAGTGCATACCAATCAGATGTTTAGTAAATGATCTCTGCAGGTGCTCCACAACAATTCTGTCGCTCTTTCTCATATTGCCGTATATTGTGTTGCAGTATTCGAGGATGGGGCAAGTGAGTAGTTTTAAAGCTCAACTCTAACACGAGTTGTGTTTGTATTGTTTGATATATTGAACATGGACTGTCTGGCACGTGCTACTTGGGATTGGGCTTGTTCGGATAAATGGGAGCTAGACGAGTACCTAATTCCGAGATCGTGGGTGAATAGCTGTGTAGGGATGTGTTCATTGTTTAGGGCGACAGATTCTTCATGAATGCAGCAGCCGTAAGACATGATGCTTGATTTCTAAGATGACAGCTTCATCGCCCATGTGCAGCACCATGACTCAAAGGAATGTAAATCATATTGAATGAGCAGTAGTATCCCGTGTAGCTCGTCACACCGACGTTTTTTTGTATAATAATCCCTTTTTACTCACCTTTCCGGATATTATGGATATTCTGCATAAAAAGTTGCTATATATATATATATATATATATATATATATATATATATATATATAACAGTTGCTTCACTATTGCTGCATCGGGTTCCTTCAAATATGGATATCCAAGATTTAAGGCTGTCACGTCTAAATGTTAAAGAAAATATCAACAGTTCGTATTGGGTAGTTATTCTCATGCCTGCGAAAGTGATCGTTAGCCTGACCTCCAAACGAAACCCATACCCTTTGTGACAGCTCACACTTAAGTTTGGATAAATGCATGTGCAAATCTTGTATTCGAACTGCCATTGGACACGGGTGACGCCAATCTATGTATATATGTATACCGAATGAATTCCACGAGGATCTTCTTACCGCTTTTGTACGCTTAACTTAGTGCAGTAAAACGACATTCGAGCAAACCGAAAATAACATTACCAGAACATGAAGAAGGTAAGTTTATGACAAACTCATGTTGATTTCAGGTGTTGCGAATCCAAGGCAAATTTGATCGATGCGAATTCCGTGGACTGCTCAGAAGGGCGGTTTCTCAGGTGCCGCAGAAGGCACTATTGTATGCGGAATAGAAGCACCATGAGTATGTCCCCATTCAATTTACTAATCCAGGCCAATAAAGCGGTGTATGTGGTACTTTTGTCTGCGTGATGAGTAATCTTGCATTTCAGAAGTAGATATTGCTTGAGCTCCCCGGTGTGGATGCGCCTGATGTGAATGTTGACAAGGTGCCTACCTGTCTATTACCCACTACCTCTTCCATACTGGCTCCAGGAAACAGTTGGTCGTCGCTGGAGGGGACGGGGTGCACCGTCCTCGTGACGGTGCTAGGCTCAAAGAGTGGTTCCATGCAACCTGTGTGGAACGGGCTACGGTCCAGCCACCGCCTCGTGTACGTCTGTTGTGTATGAGTTCCCAATTAGGCCGGAATGCTTCCGTTCTGCTTGTTGAAGGAGTGTGGGCCGGCTCCGTTGATGAAACGTGGCTCTCATCCGCATGCTTCCCGGTCTTATTCCTTCGGGTTTACACCGGATATGGGGTGTGTGGGTGGAACTATGGGTGGTGCAGCGCAAGCCACCCATGGTCCCTTTGTAGGCACGGGCGTCCTGTGACTATCCCCATGGACGTTACAGTGACAGGCAAATCCGGATACGGACGCCGCCAAATCATATATACATATATATGATGTTGCATTCGCGATGCTTCTTCATCGCAGTTGGGCTATACTAACTTACGCTTAATCCCAGTCCTTTAAAGCTGGATTAATTTCTTTCCACCTTAATAGGTTCGTTCTGTGTACCTGAATAGTCTTCTGTTAACTTGCACACGACGCTTACGCCACTTGTGGTCATCTTCGTTAACTTTATTGCGTTTGTGGCAGTTTTTTGGATAACTTGTGGACATTTCGTACATGTCGCGGTTTCATTGCTCACCAACTTGCTTCAAATGCTAATTTAACGAAGAGTTATGTCGGCCTAGCCATCTGCATTAACATATATATTTTATTTGATAATGTTATTTCATGTGATTGGCTGTTGCTAGATATCCCCTGTGTGGCTGTGCTTGATATGCATGTTGACAAGGTGCCTACCTCTCTATTACCCACTACCTCGTCCATACTGGCTCCAGGAGACAGTTGGTCGTTGCTGGAGGGGACGGGGTGCATAGTCCTTGTGGCCTTGTTCGGATCAAAGAGTGGTTCCATGCACTCAGTGTGGAGCGGGCTACGGTCCAGCCACTGCCTTGTATGCGCTTGATTCCCCAAATACAGTGTTCTTGTGTTTGCCTGTGAAGGAGTGTGGGTGGGTTCCGTTGCTAAAACTTGGCTCCCCATCCACATGCCTCCCGGTCTTATTCCTTCGGGTTTACACTGGATATGGGGTATGTGGTTGGAGCTGTGGGTGGTGCAGCGCAAGCCATCCATGGTCCCTCTGTAGGCGCAGACATCCTGTGGCTGGTCAAAGTGACAGGCAAATCCGAAACCGGATGCCGCCAACCATGTTTGTGTGTTGCGAAAGTGTTGCCGAGAGGAGGTAAAATTTCCCCTTAGAATTCAATTTCAGTGCGCAAGCGGATTCTGCCCACAGTGTTAGGCTGTTGTATGTAGTCGTTTCGAGAACATTCAGGTCTTTCACGTGACATGCGCACCTATTTTTGTATTGACCCAGCGGTGTTCGACTGCTAATCCTTGAAGCTGACTTAGCCTTCCCTCGCAGCGAACATTGCTGGGTGGACCAATAAATACTCCAAGTCTCATTCAGAAAGCCGCCACGCCCTAAAAGTACTGTGCGTGCGTTTTATCCTTTCGGGATTCGTCAGTGGTGGACATTCCATCGGACCCCGGTAGGGCTCGAACCGTCAACTCGACTGTTGCCAGTCCGTGCTTGGGACCACTGAGCTACGGGGAACGGCAACGACCATCGTGGTCCCAATCACAGACTGGCAACAGTCTAGTTTCGGGTTCAAGCCCTACCAAGGTCTGATTTAATGCACAGTGCTGACGATACCCGAACGGATGAAACGCGCGTACAGTGCTTTTCCGGGCGTGTGACGGCTGTGTGAGTGAGTGTTGATGTGACGAATTTCTACATATACCATTCAACTCCTCCTACTACTCCTCTGTAATCAGTGCGCAGACCAAACTGTTTATAATACCATAACTTAATTGGCGGCTTAAGTTTGGTAAGCTCGGCGCTTGGTGAGGGGGCTACCCTGTCCTCTGCACGGCAGTAACGTGTAAGTCAGTGGATAGTGAGCGGAACTATATCACATCTAGTAACTTATTCACGATGGTCGTTGCTGTCCCCCGTAGCTCAGTGGTCTCAACCACGGACTGGCAACCTTCGAGTTGCGGGTTCGAGCCCTACCAGGGGTCCGATGGAATGTGCACTGCTGATGATTCCCGAATGGGTGAAACGCGCGTGCAGTGCCTTTCCGGGCGTGTGGCGGCTGTCTGAGTGAGTCTAGATGTGACGAAATTCTACCTATACCATTCAACTCCCCCTACTACTCTTCTCTAATCAGTACGCCGACCAAACTGCTTATTATGCCATAAGTTACTTGGCGGCTTAAGTTTGGTAAGCTCGGCGCATGGTGAGGGAGCTACCCTGTCCTCTGCACGGCAGTAACGTGTAAGTCAGTGGATAGTGAGCGGCGCTATGTCACATCTAATAACTTATTTACGATGGTCGTTGCTCAGTGGTCTCAACCACGGACTAGCAACGGTCGAGTTGCGGCTTCGAGCCCTACCAGGGTCCGATGGAATGAAGACTGCTGATGAGTCCCGAAAGGATGAAACGCGCATACAGTCCTTTTCCGGACGTGTGACGGCTGTCTGAGTGAGTCTTGATGTGACGCATTTTTACCTATACGACTCAACCCCCCATTACTCCTCTGTAAAAGGTAAACACTTATTGGTCCTCACGCTACTTGTTATCTTTTCAGTAGCTAGATGAACAACACGAGGTCGCGTCGTCCGTTGACTTGGAGACTAGCAGAAAACGAGATCATTCCAACTGAATCGCACCTAAAGGGAAGATGTGAAAACGGATGCGTCAACGATAGTTCTTTCCACCGCCTCTTTGATCTCACATGAATAGGTTTTGGGGTGAAAAGCTACGTTATTTGAACAGTATTTAGTTTTTATGGGATACTGTAATTACACTCCTCTCACGAACGTTTATTTCGTGGTCTCTTCCATTTTTGCCATACTTTTTGTAGCTGCTCATTGGCTGAAGCTATTTGTGAAATTGTCCCACTCTCAACCAATCTGATTTTATGGGCAACTTGAATAGCTTAATATCACTCATTAAGTCGTACTTGTTGCTTGCTCGACTTAACCAATCCATGTATCGATTTAGACTTGGTAGATTATCATCATGCTCTTGGGAAGGAAAGCTTGATGTCAGTAGATGCGTCTGACTTGCTGTCTATCTTGGCCACCGAATGCTCTGTACCCAAGGTAGGTAGGTTGTTCGTCGCAAACAAATCTAAAAATAATCATGGCAATTGTTATTAGCCCATCTGTCAATTGGCAGGTAAGGTTTGTGACTTGATGACCTTCTGTCCTTGATCGAATGTAAACTTAGCTTAGCTTAACTAACTGATGATGTCACCTCGTGTGGTGACGAAACGTTTGCAGTCAACCTGCCGAGCTCAGCGAACACTCAGTCTACCAACTGAACAACCTGAGCTACCAACATTTGCTTCCATATCGCAACCAAAACCTTCAGTGCTGGATTTTTCCCTTATTATATCACTCATTCCGCTGATCTCCGTTACCTTATGTATATTGAATGCTCGTCTTTACAGCGAAGGCTTGTATTGCTTACATTTTGTAGTCGCTGCCGCTTTTTTCGGCCTGTCAAATTTTTGTACCCAAGCATCCTCCCTTGATAGGCATGTTTGGGATCAAAATTGAACGTGACACGTTACATTGGTCCCTCTCCCATGTATTGTATGCTTTTTAATTTTCCCTCATCTTTTCCTTCCAGAGATCTTCATCGTTTGGTTCAGATCAGTTGGGCTTCACTTCTCTCTTCCTTACTTGTGCGCTCTCCTGGGGATGCCTCAGATTCCGTTGCTCCGACACTGGCTGCCTTGTGTGATGTGCTGGCTCGCGAATCCCGCACCTACATGCAAATCAATCTGTCACAATTCACCACTCCAGTCAGTCCTTTAAGATGGGACGATATCGGTGGCTATGAGCATCTAAAGACACTTTTTCGTACTGTCGTCCAAAATCGCTTGGCCACAGCTGCTAAACTGAACAGTGACGAAGCGCTTGCGGACGCTGCGCTTGGTTTACGCGTCCCTCGTGGTATTCTGCTTCATGGACCTCCAGGTCAGTTTCCGCTGGCTGGTGATCTCCTCTATGACAGTGTACCATAGCAATGAATTAATTTCTATCATTTTTTTCGAAGAACGCAATCCTTTTGCTTAGGCTTCCGTGTCATTGGTTACAATAAAACCTCGGTAAGCTGACCACTCAAAGTACTGGACCAAAGTGGTCCACAAGTTTTACATGGTGAACAGTAAACGAGGAAGAAAAACAGTCAACTTGGAGTGGTTGTCAGGGTATTTGGGTGGTCAATTACAGAGGTTTTACTCTATATAGGCTTCGGTCATCGGAGCGCAATAAAGGCATGCGAAATCACGCATGCTTGGCTGCATCCGGTCCCGGATTTGCCTGTCATTATGCCCTCCTTAGGACAGCCACAGGACGCCTGCGCCTACAGAGAGGGACCATGGGTGGCTTGCGCTACACCACACACATCTCCATCCACACACCCCATATCCGGTGTAAACCCGAAGGAATAAGACCGGGAGGCATGTGGATGGGAGCCACGTTTCATCAGCGGAGCCGGCCCACACTCCTTCCACATTCACTGTAGGAGCATCCCTATCTATCTATGTAGGGAATCGCGTACCAGACGTACACAAGGAGGCGGTTGAACAGTGATCCGCTCCACACTGACTGCATGGCACCACTCTTGGAGCCTAGCACGGCCACGAGAACAGTGCACCCCTTCTTCTCAGCAACGATTCACAATCTCCTGGAACCAGTAGTCCAGGTGAAGGGTGTTCGACAAGTAGGCACCTGAGATATCAAACAACCAAACCAGAATTCGAAGTAATATAAACACGTAAGATTGACACGGAATATGCGGTAGAATAACATAACTAAGCAAATCAAATGAAGAGAAATACTTTTTATCCAAGATGCGATGGTCTAGTCTAAGTGTAAGTGGGTGTAGCCCAACTGCGGTGAAGAGGCATTATGTATGCAACCTCAACCTCAGCATGACGCATATCTCCGTACTATTAGTCAAACGCTCGGTCTCAGCTACTGAATTGGCCCAGAGTTACTTCGAAGTAAATCACGGTTCAGATTGAGGTTGCATAATACGCTTCATACACACGAACCCTCGATGTATAGATAACATTTCTTGGGTTATTGACAAGGTTGAACACAAACACACAGATAATATTTTGGAAGAAAACAAATGAAAGTTTAGACATGCTGTATTAGAAAGACCAACCGGTAGAAGCGGTAGACCGAACGTGGGAGCGCTCTTAGCTTCTCGAATACACCGTATCGGTTCATTTCACTTGCGTCTAGTTGAACAATTATAATCCGGGCGCCGAAACGCGGTGGACCCACTTGCCACTACTCACGTCGCTAAATAACAACGGTAAGAACCAGTGGTCGAAGGCAAATGGAGTTCAACGTATATGGAGATAGGACAGAAGTGCACAAACTAGTCAGGATGGAATGAAAATTAACAACTCGATGAAACAAACCTTGTGAAAGAACGCCACTTACTACGCGACTGCGCCGAGTCACGTAAGGTTTCTAACCACCGGCGTGGAATATCACGAAGATGGTACGCACCAACCTGATCAAGTTTCGAAACCAATTTATTCATTACTTTTTGCTACGTCATCGAATGATATTCTCGCGGTTTCGCCCAGCTTGGTGCATATACAGTGTATAATTTACCGAGGAAGTCGGTCAACTGGCATAAGGAGCACATGATCTAGCCAGCGTATGCGCTTGACTAATTAGTAGTGGGGATTTGGGTTTAGTTTTGGATTTTTGTTCGTCAAATTTATCTTTAGTCAGACTGGTTCCCACACGTCTGGAGAAACGGCGGACAACTTTTACAACCTATTGAGTCTCGTCAGTGGTGCGCGTTTCTTTTACCCCTGACGGGTTCCGACCCCATAACTTCCGGATGCCAACAGCTTGTGCCACTAAGCCATTTGTGGCAGCCCCTTGTCGAACCAGTTTAGTTTGACTGGCTCAACTTTCTGGTACTTGTTGGGTACAAGTCGTGCGCACAAAGATTTCACTCCCTATTTAATAGTAGCCCAACAGGTTTCATCAGATCAATCCTTTGGTAACGATCATTCCATCTAACTCACTGCTCGAGTGTGGCCATTAAAGTCAGCCTTCCATTACTTGAAGGCTGACTCCAGCGGTGGTTCCAGACTGGCTTTGACCATCGATTGGTCACTCGCTTCCATGGACTCTAAGACCCGAATGTCATGCACACGTTGCTCACAGTAGATCAATTGCAAGTCTAAGCACGATGGAGTCGCGCGCGCAGTTATGCGCGTCGGCTGGTTGGTATGCTATGTGGCCCCAGTTTCAAATATCAGCTCCGCAAACTTCCTCTCGACTTCACAATGGCCTGGGAGAAGTTCAGCCTCAGGCCACTGTGTTCGAGGTATGTTGAAATCGCCTATAAATAGGAACAGCGGACAGCTCATGTAGTTGTGGACACACGGCAACCAGTCCAAGCAGTGGCTCAGTGGACTGCGATATACCACGTCCACGAGCTTCTCGTAGCATCTGAAATGAATGGAACACCATAACTGCCCACATAGACCCTCAGGGCTTCGGTAAATGCTCACCAGTCTCTCACATAAAGAAGGACTTATTTAAAGCAGAATGCCACCGCGATCATTTGATAGTCTATCACAACGTAAGCACGAGTAGCCACTTCTTGGTCGGTTACGTCGGAGTTTAACCATGTCTCAGTAAGGCCTAATACATCTGGCCGCTGAAAGGTTACAGAGTAGCGCAACTCCTCACGCTTGTTCAGCGGACTGCAGACGTTAGTAAATGCTACACTCAGACCACGCTTAGAACCGCTGGGCGCGCCTGAAGCATCAGAAACCTGTTGATCCGGATTCGCGGAGTAATCCAAGTGACTACCTCAAAATTTACGATACGGAGATTCGTTTCTCCATCGTCCATGCGTCGCTTTAGTTCAATCATTACAACACTTGTTTTTCTTAGTCTGCTTGGTCTAAATCAGCACCCACGTGCATCTTTGGACCTTTCAGCCTACTAAGGCGGGATAATATTAACTGAGGACTTGCCTCTTCAACAAAAGTCCCCCTCATGGGTCGACTTTTGCCCTCGGTTCTCTTCCCAAATGGGCGATTTGTTTCACTTTAGCCTGCCTCATCCACCTCGAGCAGTCTATCAATTAGACTTTGTTGAAACTCGACGTCGTGCTCAGAGCGCAACTGAGGATTGGAATCCCAGAATTCAGGTGCGTGAAAGACCCTAAGGGGGCGAAGCAAGTCACATGGCATTGTTCTCGGTTTCTTGGGCGTTTGCTTTTTCCATTCGTTATCACCAATTTGCTTATTTGCGCATCAGAGTTTTATTGTCCACCGAAGAAAACGTAAGCGGTGAAGCCGAGCTTACCGGCTAGCACTTTGCTGCAGCGATACATTCACTGGCGTTCTGGGTGGAGGCTGTTTCTCTGATTGTGTCGCAGAACAAATCGAGCTGTGCGTCTCAGCACACTTCGCTTTACTGATCCGCTTTTCAGGCTTTTCGGCTCCCTTCAGCCCAAGCTTACACTGACATTGCTTACAAATGGTCTTCAGAAAGTCGTGCTGAATCCCTTGAATTACGCGAAATTGGCCCACATACAAACCGATGCACGAAATATGCAACTTCATGCGACATAAACTGCATGTAATCGCATTTGAGCGATGTTCAACGACTTTGGAGCAACTACCTCAAGATGTCTGCTTTACCATTTCAAACATATGCACCGATCGATACGACTAAATCAAAGAATTGTAGAAATCACGGTGAATACAATTAACTAGCACACCTATTTATGAGGAGTAATTCCAAATCACTAGTGTGAGTGAATTAAACAAGTATTTAGGGGATAGAATGACTTCAACAATGTAAAGAACAAGGTAAACTGGCCTGACGAGAACACGAACAAAATGCGACCAGGACGGCGCTATTTGCAACTCACAAGTCAGACATTCCAATCACCAGTCAGAGAAAGTACCAGACGGATGTTTTACCCTATTGGGGCTCCTTCAACATTGTCTGAATCCGTTTTGTATGAATCACATGTCGAAGGACACGGTTATTTCAGTCTATCCAAAACTGCTTTCGAAGTTTAGCAATCGGTCTCTTGGTGTCGCTTTCATTTTGACAGAAGTGAACCAGATATGGTGTTGCTTAATCTATTAGACCACGGGATTGAAGAGAACAGGTAATCTAAGACAATCCTATGTGGTATACTTATCTGGATGAACACACTTCACAGTAGCCTTTACGTTGAGCACCGTTATTTCACGCACCAGGCTCCGATGGCTCGGCCACGTGTTACGCATGCCAGCCCACCGACTCCCGCGACGTGCGTTGTTTGCGCGTCGGGGGTGTGGATGGAAGAAGAGGCGGAATGGCCAAGCGATGACTTGGTCCAGAGGAATGATGGCCCTCACTTCTGAGTTGGCCTCGGTTGAAGCTTCACGGCTCCCTGGTTGGGGTCCGAAAGATGATGAGCACGTTTGGTTGGACACACTTGTTGATATGGCTAGGAGCGGACCTTAGTGACGTTCGTGCCGTGAGTTTCTTTGTCCCACCCCATCCCTCTTAGCCTCCCCCTCCAACCACGATCTCATTATTTAGCCTTATATAATTTTGCATATCAATTTTTTTGGATGCACAATAGCCGGCTGGTAGCTTACCAGAACGATGCCCATCCGTTACCGGTAGCTCAGCCGGCTTGCAACAGTTGATTTTTTCTTTCCTTTTTTCTATGTTTTGCGGCACAGTAGCTGAGGTGTTCCACACCTCTGGCTAACGTGTATGATGATGATGAGCCTTTACATTGTTTTTTTTCTACCTCGGTGCAATTTCCCCAATTTTCATACTTTCCTCTCTATATGCTTTCTGCGTAGTTAGTGACTTTACAAATCTTTCAACCGGGACTGCCTGGACGTCAGACAATGTGTGATAAGATTTTGCAGTTGGTCTTGAGGCCAGCCCTACTATCACTCAACCCTTACTGCTCTCTCGGTTACCTTGTAGTCACTTTGTCCAAAGCCAGAGAAATAAATTTTAATTACCCTTATTAGATCTTGTCTACTAATTATCCTGCTCGCTAGACATCATGCAGTGTCGGTCACATTTCGTATTTACCCCACTGGGATGTATACACTCCCCTTATCACCATTGCGCTGTGTAACTTGGCTAATCCCCGGACCCTACGTGTACTGTTTGACAACAGTACATAATCACTTGGGCGAGTCCGCGCGGATACCAGTCTATAGCGTAGTAGTAAAGTGTAGAACCATTTATTTAAACTTGGCCTGGGAATCAGTTGCATCAATTGCTGAAAACCTTATCCAGCACGCCGATACGCAGTGCCGACGCTTCGCTGCCCCGCAACCACCAACAGTTACGCGCGGGCTTAGGATACTGCGAGGATTGCCCGGTCCCCTGCGTAGACTCGAACTCGCGCCCTCGCATTACATAGCTGGCTTGTGATCCTTAAGGCTACGGGTGGCGAAAATCTTATCCGACATGAGACTGGTGCAGCACACCTCCGCATTCGATCTTTTGCATCGAGTTCCTAACCTTTATGCGCCTTCTCCCCAACCCTTATAGTATTCTGTTTTCGTTTTACTGCACTTTATCCACCATTGTTATTTCTCATCATCATGGCTCTGTGGAACATGACAACCGGATGCATCTAATCACTGTTGTTTGTCTGAACTCTTTCACTGTTGTGTCAGGTTGTTCCAAGACCATGTTTGTTCGGGCGTTGGCGACGGAATGTCAGCTCCCTCTTATCGCCGTCCAAGCCTCTCGTATTTTCGGCCGCTATGTTGGTGATAGTGAACGCAACATGCGTCGGATTCTTGTTCAGGCTCGAGCATCCGCTCCCGCAATTTTGTTCATTGACGAAATCGACTTGCTGTTACCGTCCCGCAGCTCCAGGTGAGATCCTTGTTCCCTATATAGTATTCGCTTTTCTTCCCCTCTCTGTACAACTAAATTGTTGTCCAGATAACTCACCTTGCCTTTGAATCATCATTTTTTACGGTAAAGTGAGACCAAATATCTGATTCGTCTTTAAATTTAGTGGACCCAGCGTACACATAGATTGCAACGCAACCCCCACTTTCCCATCGCCATTATCATTAGCAATATGGGCGGCACACCATTCCGTTGTACATCTGTATAACCGTTATACGGCCGCTCTAGCCACACTAACTATAAACTGGGAGATGGAAAGGACGACCTGGTGTTAATCCTAAATGTTCTGATCAATTATTTATTTAAAAGACAACTACATTTCGACAGTAACGCTCGCACACAAATAACTTGTGAACGTAGGAGCTCTAAGCGTCGTCGACCATCGCGATTTTAACTCCAGACAAATTTTACTTTACATGCAGTTGAGCGCCACACGCATGTAAAACAGGTGATCCAATTAATGAACCCGCTAATATTACCGAGTGCGAGCAAAGCACAGAACTGACCACTTGAACTCTGATCAGGAAGTCAAGAATAGCCTGTACTCCTAAGGATCAGCGATCTCATTTCCCATTGTCAGGTCAATAGTTTTTCTCCCCATCGAGTATTATGCAACCCTAACTGTGGAGAACCGAATACCATCCACTATGTCAAACCACACGCGGGCATTCGAAAATACTTAAAATACTGGTAGCTCGGAACGCCTCTTCATTTGTTTCCTGAGTTGGGCAACTTGACTCCAGATGTCTTGTCACCATTCCAGATAACTTCATCCGTGTAGTATTGATAACACACAGGTAGCAATCATGAAATGCTTGAGCATATCCGTTACTCAGGATGTGCTGCTCTCCGGCCTGAACCATTATTTTGCAGACGTTTCGCTGCCACACTATACAACATCGTCAGTGCGGCTTTAACGTCCTGTTTCGCAGAGCCTCGTAAGCGACTTCGAGATCTGTGTGCTTATTGATCGAGTTCTGTTTTAAATACCAGGCCTCAATAAACTCACGTGCTTGCCGGCTTGTGGCTCTTTCGAGTATTTCGGCGTGCTCTAGGTCGAACTGGTGGCCTTCGGCATCCATATGCACGGACATCAAAGAGTTCTGATCATGGCGGCGGATTGCTAGGCTATGTTCATGTAGCCCTGTGTCAAGCTTCCTTCCTGTTTGTCCTATGTAGTATTTATCACAGTCTCGGCAGCAGATCTTGTAGATTACACTAGATGTCTCCCCCACTGGCTATCTCTCACTTCGAAAAGTTTATTTCGAATTGTTTCGGTTGATTGGTGGTCAATTTTGACTCCCAAGGGCAACAGCAGTCTCACTGTCATTTCAGAGATTTCGCTGAGTTACCTCAGGCAACACGACTCGTTTTTCGGCCGTTACGTTTGTTGAGGTGTGTTGTGTTGCCTTATTTAGCGCCAAGCAGCGCAAAATGAAGCATTTTGTGTACGAATTCCATTTGAACAGACTGAAGAGATGGTCTTCCTCCGTCTGCCTCAGCTGCTGCGTTCTACAATGCGTCCGTGCCCGGTTGAAAAGTGTTAGCACGCAGCTGTGTTTGGGGTGAATCACAAAATTGGAACATAGACTGATGAAACCACAAGATTCGATACTACCGCAATTCTACGGTCTACGAAAAGTACATAAGAGCGGAATGCCTCTCCGTCCCATCGTGTCGCTATCTGGAGCGCCAAATTACAGACTTGCAAAACAGCTCTGGAGACGACTAAAACACCTGATTGCGGGACCAGAACACTTGATCAACTCCGCAGAACAGTTCCTAGAAAAACTCAAAAGCACAACCATGGTCTCTTTTGATGTGACCGCGCTGTTCACATCAATCACCATCAACTTGGCTGAACAAACAATGGGTGCTGTACTGGAAAAACACGCAGCTTCTGATACAAGTAGTAAGATCGACGCCGGACAAATGATGGAGTTGGTGGGATTCTGTCTAACACATTTCACCTATAACAGCCAAATCTTCCAGCACATAAGACGCACACCAATGGGATCGTCGATCTCTGGACTGGGAGCCGAAGCAGGCGCTAGAACGGATAGCACCCAATTGCAAAACCGAGACTTTGGGTGCGCTACGTAGACGACACCTTCGTCATCCTCAAACGCTGCAAATTAGAGAAGACCTATGGGCCAACCAACAGTGTTCGACAGCATCCAATTCACGAGGGAAGAGGAAAATAACGAGCAGCTGCCATTTTTAGACGTTCTCATGCGTAGGACTGGTTCGGGACCACTGGAAATCACGGTCTATCGCAAATCAACACGTACTACAACAGCAATCCTCCGGCAGTCCACAAACGCAGCTGCGTGCTAACACTTTTCAACCGGGCACGGACGCATTGTAGAACGCAGCAGCTGAGGCAGACGGAGGAAGACCATCTCTTCAGTCTGTTCAAATGGAATTCGTACACAAAATGCTTCATTTTGCGCTGCTTGGCGCTAAATAAGGCAACACAACACACCTCAACAAACGTAACGGCCGAAAAACGAGTCGTGTTGCCTGAGGTAACTCAGCGAAATCTCTGAAATGACAGTGAGACTTCTGTTGCCCTTGGGAGTCAAAATTGCCTACCAACCAACAGAAACAATTCGAAATAAACTTTTCGAAGTGAAAGATAGCCAGTGGGAGACATTTAGTGTAATCTACTAGATCTGCTGCCGAGATTGTGATAAATATTACGTAGGACAAACAGGACGGAAGCTTGGCACACGACTACATGATGAACATAGCCTAGCAATCCGCTGCCATAATCAGAACTCTTTTATGTCCGTGCATATGGATGCCGAAGGCCACCAGTTCGACCTAGAACATGCGGAAATACTCGGAAGAGCCACAAGCCGGCAAGCACATGAGTTTATTGAGGCCTGGTATTCAAAACAGAACTCGATCAATAAGCACATAGATCTCCAAGTCGCATACAAGGCTATGCGGAACAGGACCTTAAAGCCGCACTGATGATGTTGCATAGTCTGGCAGCGAAACGTCTGCAAAATAATCGCTCAGGTCGGACGGCAGTGGAATTCCCGCAACTAGCAGGTAACCTGATTATCCGCGATTGGGTTTGCGTTCTACCAGCTCCTGCTCACTGACTGCTATTGACCCGGCACTGATGGTATTATCTCGAATGGTGAAAACACGTCTGCAATCAATTTGCGTAGCACGTCCAACACCACCACAACTAAAAGCTGGACATGAATAACATGTCTTTTGGCCAGCGCAATTCGTTCTTCCCTGCGCACCTAATAGTTGCATGCGTCTTTTTCCGCTACGCACAGGCGTTGCTTCCTAGGTTATAATACTCAAATCCCTGATGACACTTCAAGTCGAATCGGTCTACTCTCACCCCAGCTGAGATTAACAATTATCATTTCTTTTTGTATGTTCTAACAACTATCCTTTCAGTTTCCGTCTTTGATGCATTCGAATCTGGATCATTAGGTTTCGAAATTAACTTCTAATGTGAATCGTCATTAGTCTTGCTGTGATTCCTAGGTCGGTTCGATCGTTGGGGCTGTATGTGTTGACCGCTATCAGCACCAAATTGCTTGACCGGTTTCGTACGTATTTGCACTCATCAGGTAAGCATAGCGAGGTTGTGACGAAAATTCTGCACTTAGAACTCAATCGTTGACGCGGTCATACCCACGCGACATTGGTATACAGGTTTCCATGACTCCGTTTTGGCCCCTTTTCAGCGAAACCGGAGCAAGTGAGCACGTGTTGAGTGAAGTTCTCACGGCCATGGATGGTGTGGAAGGTCAGATCGGCCAGGTGATTCTCATCGCAGCCACCAACCGCATGGAAAAATTGGATTCGGTAAATCCTCATTAACTTGTTACATTGCCTATTCTGTCGTTTTCTCTCCCCTCACTCTCAAGAGCTACGTTGCTGCTCTTTTGCCACGCCCACATATCCACAGAGTGTCCATGCGATACTGCGTCATTTCCACTTCCTCATGCTATTCCTTGACATAAAATACCTAGCAACGAGTTAAAATGACCCTCCAGTCAATCATCCACCACTGTGCGAAGCCGTTGCACGTCGTGACCTGGTAGCTAAAGGGGTTGAGGTCCAAACTACAATCCCAATGGTCCCGGGTTCGATGCCTGTTATCTGCACTTGATGTGATCAACTTAAATCGAAACACATCGTGGTTGTGCAGTGTTTTCAGACGGTCAACAACTCATTTTCATCTGATTCGGCTACGGTCCCAGTGGTCGCAGGGACCAAGATTCACTTCAATGTGAATGTCGGTCTACATTGAGATTGCGCGTCGCAATCCACACTCACAACGTGTATTACGAAATTGTCCTACAATCCGTCATTAACCGTTATGCTAAGCGTTACCCGTCGTTATCAGGTAGCCAAAGGGATAGTTTTCGACTACTGTTCTACTGGTCCTGGGTTCGAGACCTATTATTTCTACCTGATATGATCAAATCAGATTGAAGCGCGTCGTGGTTGTGCAGTGTTTTCAGCCGGGCAACACCTAGTTTCCATCTGCTTTGGCTATGGTGCCATTGATCGCAAGTTCACTTCGATATGAATCCCGGTCTACATTGAGATTGCGCGTCGCAATCCAGTCGCACAACGAGTTCTTCAAAATGACTCTCCAATCAGTCATCAGCCGTTTTGCCATGTGTGTTGTCCGTTATGATCCGGTGGCTAAAGAGGCATAGGTACCAAAATCGCACTGATGAGACCAGGTAAGTTCGAAACGCTTCGTGGGGCGCAGTACCTTCGGGCAAGCGTTACTCAATCTACCATTAGCTGTGCTTTCAGTTATAGAGATTTTTCGATTTCTTTGAGCATTACATTCCATCACTTTTTTATTTGGTCTCATTAAGTATAGATAGCCGGTGGTGGAACTGAAGCCCTTGACGCCTAATGCATTGATCACTAGATCACTGTAATCCATCTCGATGAGACTGGACCTTAACATGGTGCGATGGTTTGCGTACCTCAGCGATCCACTGAGCTATGCTGGGAGGTGCTTTTTTGCCCCTTCAGAGCCACTCATGTCAGATTACTCAGTGGTTATAAGCCAGACGAATTCAGTCTCCTGACCCTCCAGGTTGGGGGTTGGAGTGAGGATAGCTCCCTACTCTATAAAACGGGCTCTGTGGCCCAGTGCCACAACCCCTGCCTTGCTGTAAGGTTTTTGTTTGAGAACCCTGATCATTCTCCTATGTAGGTCTGGTCAACCTGACAATATCCTGCCCGCGCAGTACAACTCTATTAACTTCTCACCACACGATTTATTGATGCTCTGGCCGTCGCAGAGGATGATAAACAACGCCCTATCCGCTGCATCAAACAGTGTGGATAGGGCTGTGTATACTACTGCTCAAGACTTCCTCTTGCGGTTTTTCATCCTTATCGTCCCACTCCAACTTCACTTTTGTCCCCTCTGTTTTAAATCCCCCAGCTCTGTCCTCACCCATCTTGCTTCAATGACTGCTTCTCTTCTAGTTTCAACTCACACGCAATCGCACGGCGTCGCTTCAGTCCCGTTGACAAGTCCATGTTCTACCAAGCAAACAATGTCAGTTCATCCATTTCTCTTTGGCGCCCCGATCATCGTTAAGACTGGCATGCCCTAGCGTGCACAGTTTGTTGTGGTTTGGCCAACAGGCAGCACTTGCCCGAACACTAGAGGCTCTAGTGATCGACATCTCTGCTTATCGGAAACCTGTCTGCGTATTTCGTAATTGCCCTGCGATCCCACACAAGCGACACTGGCTGCGCGTTCTCATTGCGTTTCTCTGGAGGTAACGCAGCTTCAAATATCTGTCAAGCGGGTATCGGCATTATTCTTAGTCCCCGAGCTGAAGCTGTCCTGGTTGACTGGATTCCAGCCAACAGTCGGATGTGCGCCGTCAGGTTGGCTGACACGTTCAGTGCTTCGAAGTCGCGCGTAGACAAACGGTGCCTGTTTGTCATTGCGGCCTACGCGCCCACAAATTGTAGCGCTAATTCGGTGGAAGAGGAATTCTATCACCAACTAAACAAGCTCCTTTGTCAGAGTGAAAGTACAGAACTTGTGATTCCGACTGGTCATTCGAACGCCCAAATTGGAAAACTGTCCACTCATGAGCTTCTTATGGGCGGACAACACGGTGTAGGCTCCAGTAATGATAACGGTGATCGGTTTCTACACCTATGTTATGGTGCTCGTCTATTTCTCGCGAGCACTAACTTCCAGCACACCACCCGCAGAAGGGTGCTATGGCGCCCACCCGCCTCAAACCAGTCTTGGACGCAAATCGACCACATCGCGGTCAGTTATCACTAGAAGGGCTGTGTCCAAAACTGTCGCTCAATTTGGAGCACGAGCATGGACTCTGACCACGCACTCGTTTGTGCCGATCTTACAGTTCGCTTTGGTGGGCGCATGCGGCGTCGCTGTGAGCACATAGATACGTTTTAGCTGGCGAAGCCAAATGTTCTGATTGCGTATCAAACTACGCTGGCATTCGGGCTGAGTAAACCCTCTCTGAACACAATAGAGGGCCAATGGTCGCATATTCACCAGACGTTATTAGCAGCAGGTATGTCTTCATGTGGCAAATGAAGTTGCCAAGCTGGACATTGGCTCTCTATGCCATCTATGGTATTTGGGGTGCTAGCCGTCATATTCCGGCTGCAAGCGAACGCAACGGGACTCGCAAAGACTTCAGATCAAAACTGCGTGCTAGTCTGAAGAGAGACCACGAAGTGTGATGGTCTCATAGTGCATCGGAGCTGGAAATGTCCGCTGCTGCTTGATACGCAAAACCGTCAGAAGGAGACCTGGTCTTAGCGAAACCATACGTGATGAAGGTAGACGGCCGATTCACAGTTTGCCAAAATGCTTGAAACGTTGGGCCGATCACTTTGAAAAGCAACTTAATCATCCAGTTAGCAGCTTCTCCTACGGCCATCGATCGTTTTTCTCTCTGGGCCGTGCTCACGGACCCGCCTTCTCGCGCACTAGTCGGACGAAAGATCAGACGGTTGAAATTACATAAGGCCGCAGGAGCGGATAGAATCCCTCCAGCTCTCTTCAAATTCGGGAGACCTGCTCTCCTAGATGATCTGCGCAACTTGTGGAACTGTAGCAACATGAAACTGCCCCAACAGACGTTAGCAGCTCGATAAAAGTCCTAATTTTTAAAAGGGGCTCAGGTTCTGAATGCGGCAATCATAGAAGGATTGGTCTGATTTCAATTGCTTCTACGACACTTTTTTCTGTCGTTCTTCATAGACTTACTGGCACACGTGAAAGCCAGATTCGCGAGGAGCAAGCCGGGTTTCGTCATAGTCGCGGCTGTATTGATCACATCTTTACACTACGTCCATTGCTGGAGCACCGCCATATTTATCGGCGAGCCACTGTAGTCATGTTCTTCGACATCAAAGATGCCTTTGATTCGGTTGCTCGCTGTGCGTTTTTGGGACTGTTTCCTGAGGAAGAATGTGCCCGAGAAATATGTGTATGTCATAAGAACACTGTACGCGCATAGTTTGGGCAGGCTGTCGCCGCCCTTCAATATCCGCAGCTGTGTGAGACAAGGATGCTCACTGTCACCTTTCCTTTTTAACTACTCCATCGACGGGATCATGAAAACTGCGTTCACTGGATACGACCTGCAAGGCTTAGAGCTGCTCTCAGGTGAACAACTTCTTGACTTGGAGTACGCCGACGATATCGCCCTTATCTATAACATCTTTCAAACGTACCAAGTCACACTGGCTGTCAGTCGTTTTAAGCTATGCTTTGCACCCTCGAAGTACAAAATCCTTCTCCAAAATTAGCAAAGACCCACCCCTATACGGACCCTTGGTGGGGATCAGCTAGAGGTCGTCGAGAAATTCAATTATCTTGACAGCTATATCAGCGGCAATTGAACGGAAGATGAGATCACGAACTCAAGGCGCTAACGTACGCCACCTATGGCGCCGGCGCGACATCACTCTCGCCCTGAAGGGCAGAGTGTACAATGCAGCCTTACGTTAGACCCTACTCTACCGTTTTGAAACCTGGTCCCTTAGATCAGCCAACATAAAGAGGCTAGTTACGTTCAACCACCGGTGTCTTCGCAGCTTAGCTCATGTCTGGTGGGAGCACCGCGTGAGCATTGAGCGTGTTTGACATCGTGTATTTGGTGCAGCAAGAGCGGGTGAACCGCTCAGCACCATTATAACGCGCACCAAGCCACGTGTTGCGCTTGTCAGCTCACTAACTCCCGCGTTATGCGTTGTTTGCGCGCCCGTGGTCTGGATGGAAGTAGAGGAGGAATGATCAGGCGATGACGTGGTCGAGAAAAATGAAATCCCTCTGTTCGAAGTTGGCGTCCGTTGATGTATCCCGACTGCCTGACTGGGGTCCGAAGGATGATGCACACGTTTGGTTGGATACACTAATTTAAGTGGCAATGAGCCGACCTCAATGGCGTTTGTGTTGTGAGTTTCTTCGTCCCTCCTTCCGTTTATTCTCCCCATCCAACCTTGATCTCTTAACGCATAATATATTACTAAGTAACCTGTCGCCTGTTTTTGTAGCATTCCATACTTTTCTGCATCTTGTTTTTTCCTTTGTCTTATCTTTATGTCTTGTGGCACAATAGTTGTAGTGTTTCTCAACTTTAGCTTACTTGATGATAATGATGATGAGGAGGAGGAGGAGGATGATCAGCAACACTTGACACAACCGTCGGAATTTCAAGGTTACGTACTTGCTTGAGTACTTGTTATGTGTTTGAATTGTGACAAGCAATTTTTATTAGGACCTCGGTTTGTATTAAGGTAGACGTCCATCATTTCATTCTTAGGGACTATATCCACGACCGACGTTATCATTGTTTGGACTCATTAAATAGAGAATTGTAGCTGAAAGTGGAACCGTGGACATAACCTCTTGATGATCATCAAGTTTTGAATAAATAGTTCTGTTTAGAGTGTCGCTATTAATTGACTATAAAAATATTTTTTGAGTCCTAGACTGCTTGCTGCTGCTCCGTGTGTTATTTCGAAAATTGCTACTTTCGGGAAACGTGTGCGCGAAATGAATTGGGTGTGTTCTAAAAGTCATACCTACCTCACACAATTAGACGACAAAATATCATGTGAAATTTGTATGCTTGTCTTAGCTAGCTGTATCGTTTACTTACGCTTCCTTTCTAGGCTAGACAACATCTTCGGTGCAGCTTTCAGGGCCTAGTTTCCTTAGTCTTTTAGCTGGCATTCAAAGCAGAACTTGATTCACGAGTGCCTAGATCTACTTTTAGCTTATTCGAGGCCGAACTAATGATGCTGCTTAGCGTCGCAACTAAGTCAAACTAACCAGCCAAGTCGGAGCACAACTCAAACTTCCACATCCAGCACCTCGAGCTACGAATATGCTCCTTTATTTCCCATAAAATGCTATCCTCCATGTGTGTTTGAACGAAACCGGTTCTTCCTCCTTTGTACTTCGACCACTCTTTTCCTATCAATGGGTTTTTTGACATGTGTCAGATTAACTGAACTCAACCGAAGTATACCGCCAAAATCATTCTTTTCTGATCTAAGCTTCCACCATCGAGGCATCTCCGTTACAACTCTATTCGGATGAACATGTGATATTATCCTCTTTTCATTACCGTACCATTTGTGCTTCCAATTGTCGCGGGGTGTTGGTTTCTTAGTGCTAATCACTCACAATTTCTCCTTAGCAGCCTTTCTCCTTAAATGTCCTGGATAAAAAACCCCTAGTGTTTCCATCGTACACGACGTCAGGAGTGCCTTGGTACATTATGTCGATGCTGCGCTGCCACGTGACCACTACCAGCCGCGCATAGGCTGCGTATACCGTGTGGTCGCCCGCGCCAACACGTATTCGAACCAGTGACCTCCGGTTTGTAATGCAGGTGTGTAATCCCTACGGGCGCTGGCTTCACGTTTGTGAGGCGTTTTGTGTAGTCAGAAGTCGGCCAGTTGCCGAGTGATCTGCGTGCCTTCGTTGCAACTATAAGGTTTCCGGTTTGGATGCGCGTAGGAGTGGGCGTTCTCGCGGTATACTCAGCCCACACTCGATAGTCAGTGGTCGCGTGGCAGCGATGTGTCGGTGTTGTGTGCTGGCGTACTGCTTATGCCATTTGTGTTGGTGAGAACTTCGTTGAAAAAACTAAACTCACTTTTACCATCTGCGTAGGGGCAAGCGTCCTCGAGGTAAACTCAGCCCACACGCGACTGGTGGTCGTCGCGCGGCAGCGAAGTGCCGTTACGTCGTGCAGCTGGCGATTTATTTTATTTTACAGGTATTTCTCATCAACCGAGCACACACTTGCCATAGATTGGTCCATTTGGGGACATCTCACTTTTTTGCACTGCTTTTATGTGATCTGGGACCAGTTCATTGGACGGCACGGATGAGCTCTTAACTTTCTGGATAAAGGAACACGCACCCATTATTTTCTCTCTACAAGCTCCGTCCAACTGAGGTTGCTGTCATTTTCTATGATAGGAAAATACCTGTTGATCAAATATTATGGAACACTTATCCCCAACTCTGTTATCTCCCGAGGCGGCAGAGAGGCTATCGTCAGCTAGTTTTCCTTCCCCAAGAGCCTTTTTTATCGGTTTAGACTTTCCTGGCCATGGGATGCATTTTTACTCACTTCTCAACTCTGTTAACTGTGTGGGGTGATTGAAGAATTTTGAGCGTTCAGGAAATAAATCAATGCACATGTTTTTCATTGTTATTCTTTTCCAAATTAGTACCTTAAAGATCGACATACTTGAGCTAGCGGTACTAAGGTGCTCAAAGCTTTTCAGTCACTAGCTAATGCTACTGACAAATTAGTACGACTCGCATGCTTTTTCAAATTTAGTAGTGTATCACTACTGACTTTCCTCTTGATACCAACCCCTTGACGAAACCTGGACACTTATAACCAGCCATCGGCTAGCGATTTATGCCCTTGTTTTCGTGGGCTTTCGAGATTTATTCCCCCGAGAACTGTGAATTGACGAGTTGCTGTTCACCGGTATGCTATTTATCATGTTCTTACTCTATCCAATCTTTTACGTAACATTGGCTTCTTTTGTTCAGTGCCTTTTTCTACACTCATCTACTGTAGGCTCTCAGTCGCGCTGGTAGATTCGACCTGGTCATTGATGTTCCTCCCCCGGATGCCGCAGCTCGTGCAGCCATCTTGCGGCTGGAATTATCTCGACGTGCTCTGGACGATGCGTTATCGTTGCAAACGGATTGGCTGAACGACTTTGCCAAATCTCGTTTGCATGACTACACCGGCGCAGAGGTGGTCCAGGTAGTCCAACTCGCTGCCCAGCTGGCTCGAAATAGTGGTCGCAACCGAATCAGTCGCTCATGCCTTCTTCGAGCACAAGAGGAATGTCCTCCGGTGTCTCTGAATCGCTACTCCTCTTCCTGCGTGCCACCGTGCGCTTCTCTCACTAACCATCTGCATCAGATTTTTATGCTTTTGCCCAAATCACTACTGTTTGCGTCCTTCTCTATCTTTCTCATTATCGGCCTGGTTTTCTATGCATGCTTTTCGAACTATCCGTAACTTCGTTGTACATTCCTCTTGATGACACTATCACTTCCGGATACTTGTATACCATCCAATCATATTATTTCATCTTTCCTCCCATTGATATATTAATCAGTGGGATTGCTCTCTGCAAGTTCCCTTTCGCAATTGGACTCTTCTTTTTACTTTATATTTTGGGTTTTCCTACGCCTTGTCGGTCATTGGTCGCAAAGATTGCGCGCCTCCCTTGTACTCCGGAGGTCTTCGGTTCGAATCCGCCTAATCGCGGGTGACATCGCGGTATACCTCCAGCCCACACATGACCGGTGGTGGTAGCGTTGCAACGAAGCGTCAGTACGATGTGCCGGCGTATATTGACGCCTTACTTTCTTTCTTTGTACACCTTCTCTAAACGTTGCACATATTCGCCTGGACACTGGTTTAAATTAAGAATGCTGTTTCATTGCAGTGCATTGAACACAATTCACTTTTTTAATCGCGAATTCTTCAATTCGAAACCATTGGTGTCAGAAAGTACCACTAAGGTTAGCATAGGCTGCTGTCCAATTGCAAACGTCCCGCTCACTGCACCCCGAGGCTTGTGTGGAATGCGACGCGCAGCTTGTCACTAAATTGCTCGCACTGATTTTCAATCAGATATGTGAGCCACCCTCTTCTCGGCTTTTGGACTATGCCACACCCCTTTCCCCCGAGTTTTGTACACTTGATGACGACCTAGTTCCAAACGTGCGTTCCTCATTTTCACCGTATTGATCTGCTACATCGTAAAACCAGCTGCTTCTAACCGACCTTCACCTTTCTGGTGCTCACACGATAATGGTTAACGGTGATAATATGCTAGAGCCTTTCAGTGGCTCGATACCGCTTTACAACCTTAGCTTATGACATTCCCTTGGTAATAAGTAGTCATAAGGAAGGTAGTGACATAGGGGCTGTATACTCTGAACAAACACCCGGGTTAAATGCCAATGCCGTACACCCAGCCGCAGAGCGGATCTCATTGGTCCGCCTAGAAAACGAGGTGGACCGGTCACGTTCACCTTAGTGGCAGGGTGGTTCAGTTATGTGCTTTGTATCCCATTGTTTGACGCTTGGAGCTTGCATAGACACAGGCAACTTGTTGGTATTTCTAGCATCCAAACGTTATTGCTCTTAGTCGCCTGGCGACACGTCGGTACGACGTGCTGGTGATGTCCTCTCTTCCCCGTTTGGGGTTCGATGGCTTGATTTCATTTAATTCTATAATCAAATCAGGCTATTCCTCAGAGGTATGTCCCAGTTAGGTGAATTGCACGTGCCTGAGTCGGCCGGCACACGCATTTTTTGGTAAACTGATGTATGCATAGCGGGTTACGCATACCAGCACACCGATTCCCGCGACGTGCGTTGTTTTCGCACCTCGGATGTGGATGGAAGAAGAGGAGAGGAGACCAAGCGATGACTTGGTCAAGAGGGATGAATGCTCTTGCTTCCATATTGGCCTCGGTTAGAGTCTACCGGCTCCCTGGTTGAGGTCCGAAAGATGATGAACACGTTTGGCTGGATGCACTTGCTGACATGGCTAGGAGCCGACCACAATGACGTGTGTTGTGAGTTTCTTTGTCCTCCCCATCCAACCACGATCTCATTTCCTAACATGTCATAAATTTTGCATTAAATAATTTTTCGTAGCACGATACCGGCTGGTAGCTCGCTGGAACGATGCCCGTCCGTTACTAGTGGCACAGCTGGCGTGCCTTGGTTACAGATTTTTATTTCTTATGTATTGCGGCACAATAGCTGGTGTCTTTTTACCTCTAGCTAACGTGTATAATGATGATGATGATAGATATCGAGTTATCTCATGAATGCTAAGATGAAGACGGTAACCGAAAGTGCACGAGAACTGCACTCATCCTAGGTATCTCCTTCTGTCGGGTTCTTATTCTTCTCAGATTGTGGATAGTATAGACGAGTAGCCAGCGATCCCCTGTCTCATCGCGAATCTTCTCAAAGCACTAGCCTTGACACTGAAACTGCATAACCTCGATCAATCCCATTCTGTTTTATTCACCGAAGCGGTCACTGTGGTTCAAACATTTCTCTGGATCATAAGGATAATTGGTTAATGGGATTAGCGCTTTCAAACAACACTGCGCCCCAATGACTGCCTCGTGTTTGGTTACACTCGATAACTAAGGTTGCGACTCGAACGCGGTGCCTACGAGCTACCGGCTGACACAATTGCTCCCACTCATAGGCACACACACACCACTAATTCTCAGGTAATATTTTCCACACCAATGAATGACCTGTGAGTTCATCTAAAGCCCCCGGTATGTGAAGGAATCGCAATTGGTTCAGCTCGGACTGCGATTTACTTCCCGTAATGTCTCGGTCGATTTGGTCACTAGGACCGCAGCCGAAACGGATACATGTTAGTTGTCAGTGCCGTGTACATACATGCCGACTGTCTTCAAGTCCCATGTTTGGATAGTCTATCTGCTAATTTTAGGTGTGAAATGCAAAAAAACGCGAATTCTGCCGTAGAACCTAGTGTTGCTGACTGATTATTTGTCTGTTTCACATACGATCCAATCGACTTAACTGACACATCTCAACGGTAGTTCCGGTCCAGATCACTATTTTGTATCGCATTTCATTCACCAAACGGGTGCTTTGGATGAACTCGGACCGCTTGCGTACACTTGTTCCGTGGGAACCATTACCAGTAGTAATGGCAGTGCCGAATCAACAATAGCAAGGCTTTTTCACGAGACCAACCTAATTCGTCTAGGCATGGGCACAAACAAGGCTGATGATAATAACGGAGAGATTATGTTGCTTCCTGGATGTGTTGACCGTGACATAAACATACTTGCGCTGGCTCGTCCCAACAGCTGACATGCCAGATAGTCTAACCCCAACGACCATATGGTGCTTTTCCGGATTAGGGTTAGACTATTTAGTTTGTAGGCTAATGGGACTCGTCGATGAAATTTCATCAAGCATACCCCTATTCATCCGTGTACCTATTTGTATGGAGCGTTCTTCGCTTCAGGTTCCCAGTCGGATGGCCTGTTATACATCCGAGAAAGCACTAAGAGGTTGTTTCGCTCCTTCGGAACTCGTCGGTGGTTTGTATCCCTGGATTCATCGGAAACCAAACCCACCATCTCTCGAAGTTAGCGAATTGCGCCACCCACCCACAATTTTAGGCCACCGGTGACCATTGAAGATAGTCACATATACACACAGTACCTACCCGATTTTACTCTTTTGTAGTGATTGGGAACGCGTGCATATTTTCATCGCGTACACCTCTTCGTAGCGGTCTTTTTGTTCGACGACCAACCTCATGAGTTTTGCGCGTCAACGTCCACCAGTATTTCAGGTTGATTGTTCACGGGGGAACTCGCCCTTTCAGGTATCGAGTTGTTGGCAACTCTCTTGTGAGATGTCCCGATGTTCAACTTCAAACTCTCGGGTTCTGTCATCTCCCCTTTTCAACAAATAGTCTGCAAAATATACTACGAAGTCCTACGTGATGATAACACAATTATCGCAAGATGCTCCATGATTCGATAACTACGGTTCATTCGCGTGCGTCGCACGCCACAGTGGATAACGACAAAGTTACAAGAAGAGTTACCTCCGCTCGATTTCGGTCGTCTTTTATGTACATCCTTCTGAATCTCCTAGACTATGTTGATCACTTAATCGTGAAAAAATTGTCCTTATCGCCTACATGAACAATATGTTGCGCGAGATTACAACGTAACCAAAACATCTCCCGGGTTTGAGCCAACAGATTGACGGGTATCACTGTATGCCACTCTGCAACACTAGCGATCTCTTGTATATCGATGTTCTGTGCATCGCATCTAATCGGTCGGCTTTGACAGATAACCTCTTACTAACATCAGCAGAAGCGCCCAAGTCAAGTCACATTTTGCAGTGGTGGCCTTATCTATATTAATACTTCATGGTGCACGTCGATTAAGATCATTTTTCGATACAGCTCGCAACACATCAGCTGTTTAATCTTGAAATGCAGGCCAAGGCTGCCGAACTGTTATCGTTCGTATGTATTGGCTAATATTTACATCTCTTTCATCCGTATAACCAAGCTACGAAGTAGACGAAATTCGCTACGAATTTACAGCTGCGATTCTCGATTACCTGGAACTCTCCTTGTGCAAAGTTGCCGGCGATCTTAACAGATCTGTCACCAGCTTCATTGCCTCGGGCTAAAGAACATAGTGCATTCTCCACTCAGTTTAGATGCAACACTTAACATGATGTTTGTTAACAATCCGAAAGTGTTTTCTGTTTGTAATTGGGCGCCGCTTGGGGGCTCTGATTATGACATCGGAATATTCTCGAGTTATCCAAAGCAAGATGAACCCGTGGCAAAGATTGAAAATTCAGGCGGAGACAGTGACTTTTCCAGAACATTCAGCCATTATGTGAAAACACTGCTTCCACAGATTTTATTTAATTATAAGACGTAGACGTTTCAAAGTACTGTGATCATTTAACTAGTTACTTAAACTTCCGTTTGGACACCTGTTGTTTAATTGAAACAGTATTTATCCATACCGATAGATTCTCATCTTAAGTGGCTGTGTAGGCTCAAAGAAAAAGCTCCTAAAAACCGACGTTACATCAGTAAACTCTCCATCGATTGACGTAAAATCGCGTCATGACAATAGTTATCGTGCTACATGAAAAATACTGAAACTGTTAAGCGAATTCCCTCACTCAACTCCGCATGTCGAAATAATAAAACCCAACTCCGGTGACCAGGATAGTGCTTCATACTTTCCTATATCCTCCGCTCAGTTAGAGCCTCAGATAACCGTCTTGTGAACAGCCTAGAAGTAAACAGGGAATCAACCAGGTTGCAAGTGAACAAAGCACCTGGTCCGGAGAGGTTGTCTCCTATCGTTCTTAAGGAGTGTGAAGATTACTTGACGCAGCCCCTCGCCGACTTGTACACACTGTGCTTCAAGCAGCACAAGATGGCTGCCAGTTGGCAAAGCGCAAGCATCACGTCAGTGCCAAAGAGAGGATCATGCACGGCCGATCGCTTGCACGTCGGTTGCTCTGA